TCGTCTATATTGTGGAGAACTGAGATAGAAAGGCTTATTGTGGAAATAATTTGTTCTTTGTCCAGACATATTTTATCAATCTGGTAGACCTATTATTTAATAAACGATGCCATTTTTATAACTCACACAGCTATATAATAATTAAATGGTTTCTTCTTTGTTCTCAATATTTTGGCAATCACTATTCTATTTGGTGCATTTTTCAATGTCTTAGATTTAGAGGTCATTCTATAAGCCAGAATTCTCCCTCCCACTGCAAGATTATCTGAGCAGAATGTTAAGTGCTTATGATGAGCTGTAACATAACCAAGAATTTGACTTGATGGTACTGAGCAGGCAATGTTGTAGTGGGGGACGAATATGCCCAGAATTTGGTGGAGTTTAAAAGATTGCTGTCTAAGTACAAATAAATATTGCTCTTTAGAGAGTGTCATTTTCTTAGCATTACCTATCGTGTATAAATACTGCAATAACTTTTTAAGAATTATTTATGGTATTAGATGAAATTATATGTTTGCACTTTGTATTGCTTTTATGTATCTGATAATCATTTCTGCTCCTTTAAGGGATGGAGACTGCATTGTATTAAGGTTTTCACTGCAGGGTACAAGAACATGAATCTGTTAGAAAAAATTAGGGAAAATCTATCAGGAAATATAGGGGGAAGATGATCTATGAAGGATTCTGCTGTTAGTATTTCACTTTTACTTTTTAGGGATTTTTTTTAGTATTTTAGTATGTTTGGTATTTTAGTTTTTTTACTTTTATAAATATATATGATATTTTATAGTCATCAAGACTAAAATCAATTTATCAACATCTTTTTTGAAAGAATCCAAAATAAAAGCCTAAATTTTAAAAGCAGCTATGAACAAAATACTTTTTGGTGTATATCTTTATGCTTCATCATTATCATTTAGCTAAGTAAAACATTTCATACCAGTAAAAATAAGTAACATTTTATGAGGTTTTTAAATTTATAGATTATTATCTACTCTAAATTTCTTATTACTTGATTATTTCAACTTATACCTTTATTCTAAAACTATGATTAAAACTCTTGAGAGATGTTATATATTTATTAAGAGATACTTGAACATTTGGTTAGATTATCTTTGATACTTATCAAAATATACATTTGAATCTCTTTAAAATGATATCATCTTAATTTCCTTTTAATTCTTAGGTTATATTAATAAAACTAATGGCCATCGTCTGTTGAATGTTTACCATGTGCAAGGCACTATTTGCTCTAAATACTTTTATCTGAATTTACTCCTTTAATTCTCACAAGAACACTGTAAGTTAGGTCCTATTTCTTTTTAATTCAGAATATTTGGGGGGTACAAACATTTTGATTACCTGTTTTGCTTTTGTGCAGTTTGAGTCATAGTTATAAGTGTGTGCATCACCAAGGTGGTGTGCATTGTACCTGTTAGGTATGAATTTACCTGTTCCCTCCTCACCCCTCCTACCGACTTGGTTTCCATTGAGTTTTACTACCATATGTGCACATGGGTGTTGATTGATTAGTTCCAACTTAATAATGAGTACACATGGTATTTGTTTTTCCATTCTTGCAATACTCTGCTTAGAAGAATGGTCTCTAGTTTGATACAGGTTGTTACAAAGGTATTAGTTCACCTTTTTATGGCTGCACAGTACTCCATAGTATACATAGACTACATATTTTTATCCCAATTTTACAAATGAGGACATTAAAGCAGGCACCAAGAGGTTAAATAACATGGCACGGTCACACAACTAGAAAGTGGCGGAAGCAAAATTCAAATCCAGTGAGCCTTCCTCCACAGCCCCTGCTCTTGTTACTACTTCATCTTGGCTCTCTGAACAGAAGTTTTGTCATTTTATGTCAATCAACAAATATTTAGGAAACATTTACTGCCTGTTTGCTAGCAGGATATAGACTATCAAGGAAGTTTTATATTGTGTTAAGGGGTTGAGAATTGAATGGGACCTTACAAATAGGCTCACAAAGAAAAGCCTATATAAACTGCAAGTCAGAAGGCTATATTAGAAGCATAAATTCCTATAGGAACATTGAAGAAGGAAAGATTTCTCTGATTGGGAGGAATCCAGTGGGTTTCATAAAGGAAGCAATGTTTTCATTGGGACTTACGCTTTCAGGGTAGGTGGGAGTGAGGCTGAGTTAGGCGGAAATGGGGAAGACCTTGAATGCCACACTAAGGAGTTGAGGCAAAGCAACTATGAGCCTTCAGAGATTTTCAAGCAAGTAAGTAACATTGCATTTTTAGGTGCAAAATGGTAGCAGCATGAAAAATGAATTGAAGATGTTTTTGGAGGTTTGGGGAAATAGAGAGTAAGATGAGGTTTCATCAAGATGACAGATGACCATATGTGCCGATCATCTCTTTGCGTCTCGAATCCTTACAAGAAATTTACAGGAGATATGTTTTGCTTTGTGTTGTTATATTTTAAAGAGTAAATCCCTAGCAATGCTGGAAAACAAGAAAGAGTACCTACCATTAACAGACCATAAACTTTGAAAGACACAAAGCAGATAGATAGCAGATAGGATGGGACTGTTGAGGAAAATTATACTCTAAAACATGCAGGACAGGAAGATCACTTGAGCTGAGAAGTTTGAGGTAGCAATAAGCTATGATTATGCCACTGCACTCCAGCCCGGGGGACAGAGCAAGACTCCATCTCTAAACAAAAACAAAAACAAAAACAAAAATGTAGGAGAGGACTGCTTCAGAAGGAGGAAGGGCTCTGCCTGGGCTGCACATCAGACATACAGATGCAAGGCTGAGAAGGGGTCTGGGGCTGTGAGCAGGGTAACTGTTTGGGAGGCTGCATGAACAGCTGAGTAAATCAGCTCCTTCTCTTTTGCCTGCTTATTTTGAGCAGGAAGCAGTTGATACTTTTAGCCACAGCCTAAGGCAGTGAATATGAGGCTTTAGCTAGAGACAAAGTGGTAGGAAGGTAGCTAATGACACCTAGGAAACATGCAGAGCACCCCCTTCTCAAAGAAATGTAGCCAGCATGTATCAGCATGTCCCTGGTATTTATGAAAAGCAAATAGAGATTCAAAAAAGAAAGATAAAGAGCCAGAAATTACAAGCATTTGAAGTTTACCAATGCCATAAAAAAGATACCAAACTCGACAAACAGCCAAAACCTAAAGAAAACAAATCACTAGAGCTAACAAAATAAAAGACTTTAAAATAAGAGAGCCAATTTCCTTAGAAAGACCTAAGAGAACATTGGATCCATAAAAAAGTGTACATATTGAAAATTAAAAACATAATTTTTGAGAGTTTAAAAATACTCAGTAAATTAATAGAAGGATACAGTGGACCTAGTTTAAAAGCAAATTAGTGAAGTGGCAGATCAAATGGAGGAATTCTCCAAGAATAACACAAAAAGATAATTATAAGGAAAGTAGAAAAGAGAAAGTTAGAACCAGAAATCTCAACATCTTACTCATAGAAATAGTTGAAGGCAAGAAGAGATAAAATGCAGAATAAAAAATAATAAAAGAGATAGTAGAAGCTGACTGAAGATGTACATCTTCAGATTGAATTGGACCATTGAGTGTGGAGCAGAATGACTGATAAATGACCAATGTCTAGTTGAAGAGATAGTGCAAAACCTTCCAGAAAGAAAAAAAAAAATTAGTTACCAAAAAGGAATGGTAATCAGATTGCAATAGTCTGAAGTGCCATATTTGTCATATATGATATATATCATATATGTGTGTGTACGTGTATATATAGTGCTGCTGTGGAGGGCCACCCAGGTCCCCCTCTGCTCTTTAGAACTGAAATATTTACTTTCCAGCTGCTGGGAGTGTTGGCAACTAATGGTAATCTAGAAAATCCCTCTCCAGGAATTGCCCTCTGCTAAAGAAAATCACCTTGCCAAGGCCATGTCCCCTTCCCTGGAGCAGCCCACATCCAGGAACACCAGTTTGGGGGATAAAGGCCTGACCCCTTTGCCTCAATTCAGGACAACTCTGAAGGGTCATTGCAGCTCCAGAGCTCTCTGTAGGATTGTCTGAGGCCACTGTTACTATATTACAGGTCAACTTCTTCTGCCACATCCTGTTTTCCTTGTAAGTATAGGAAAACAGGAGGCCACACCCAAGGAAAGTTCTTGCAGGCAAATCTCCATCTGAGTTGGTTTCCCAGGGAATGCAACCTGTGACAATATTCTTTTCAAACACCCACGGGACACTCAAGAAAATTAACTATGTATTAGGATACAAAGTTCCTGCAAAGAAAGACCAAAGAGACCACATTCTCTGACCACAGAATTAGATACTAACAATAACCTAACCAATCACCAACCTCCCCCAAATTTATATTCATACACACATGAATCACTCTAGAGTTGAAGTGCCATGCATGTAGCAGACACTTATATGAAAGTAATATTTGAATGAATTTGGTACAAGTTAAATAAAATTTGAGAGGCAATAGGTTCTTATAAACAGTTTATTCAAATGGAGTCATTTCAAAGTGTTCATCATTAAATTCAAGGTTATTGGTGGCCATTTTACACCTTAAAAATAAGCTAGTACTAAGGTTATACAACTGTAACATTTTAAAAAATATTTTGAAATAAATACCATCAAACTGTTTCATTTTAAATCAAGTTGTTAGTATCTCTGCTATTCTTATAAAACACAAGTCTTTCACAGTAATGAACTGGGTTCATATTTTGTGTGATTCCCATGATAAAAAGAAACATAATCATTGTTTTCCTTCTGACATAGCTTACAGTGAACTTTATATTGGCCACATAAGGCCACAGTAAAAGCCATATGAGTGAACTGAAAATTTTCAGTGTTCAAATTTTCAACATTATGTTGTTTCTAGGAAAAATCAGTACCCTCCATATATAACATATATTTCATAAATAAAATAATTCAAGCGTTTTTACATAGCTGGTGTTTTCTTATTAACATCATATGACTAACTTTAATCTATATGTGAATGTGTATTTAATAGGAAATCGCCCGGCATTTACGCCCTGGAACCCTCAGAGCAATCTTTGGTAAAACTAAGATCCAGAATGCTGTTCACTGTACTGATCTGCCAGAGGATGGCCTGTTAGAGGTAAGTAAACATCCTATTTATATTTCAAGCTCATAAATAATCTCAGTTCTGATGTGTAAGAAAACTTTTCATACTTTTGGATTACACTGTTACTTGGCCATCAGATGACTTCAGCCTCCATCTTTAAAAGTATAGAATGCTGTATATAACTGGGTAGTCTTCAAAGAATTAAGATATCTTATCTGATTGGCACATATTATGGCAAAAAGTTAAAAAAAACTACAATATTGATTAAATTATGTGAGATTTGTTATTAAATCAGTTGGCAATACCATTACCATAAGTTGCTAGTCATGAAAATATGCCAGTGAAGTTAAGAAGTCCAACACACAGTATGATAGTATTAAAAGTAATAGCTACCATTTATTGGGAATTTTTATGAATCAGATTCTACCATGAAAAATGCTTTGTGTAAATTATTTCTTTTAATTGTCACAGCAACTCTGTGAGGCTGGTATTATTATGTCTGTTATTTCAGGAACATGAAATTGAGAGTTAGGTTAAATAACATCCCCAAATCAAACAACCAAAGCCATATTTTGAGCTCTCATTCAGTAACATAAAATAATAAATAATGAAATAATTCTAAGAAAATATAAGTGAAAGTTGTTCTGGTTTGGGTTTAAGAAAGTCATTTCTAGGCCAAAATCAAAGAAAGAAACTTAAAAGATTGACATTTTTAATTTTTTATAGTTTTAAAAAATTTTATAAAAATAAACTAAATGAAATTAAAAAACAAATGCTAAATTTAAGTGTTATAAAAGACAGAAAAATGGTTTATATTCTTAATATTTACTTGAGTATTATTTGTGTTTTATGTAATCAAATCTATTAGTCTTTTTTTTAAATTTATATCTCTAAAGTCATATATAAAAAAGTCTTCCCCAAACATTTTGTTTTCATTTTCTCACATTGACATGGTCAGTCCAGTTGGAATTCATTTGACATATGGTATGAAGTATGAATCTAGCCAACCGTCACAACATAGTTTATTAAATCCTTCCATCCTTTCATTGTTCTTTCTCATTTATTGAATGTGTCTGTATACCTGTGCCTATTTCTGAACTTTCAATTTTATTCCATTGGTCTGTTCCAACAAAACATTGTTTTTGTTGGACATTTTATTATTATACTTTATTTATACTTTACAAAAGCTTTCTTGGTTAGTCTCTTAAATTTATTCCTCCAAATGAATTTCACATGAATTTACCAAGTTCTTTACTTCACCTCCAGAAAATGCAAATGGGACCTTGACTGACATTGCAATATGTTTATAAATTATGTGGGGATGCTATATCTCTAATTCTGAATCTCTCCAGCTTGCTCTATGGTGTGCCTTTCCTTTTATGCAAGCAGTAGGGTCATTTTTTTTCATATGGTTCTTGGACATAGTCTATTAAGTTGATTCCATCAGTGCAACGGTCCCCAACCTTTTTGGCACCAGGATCCGGTTTCATGAAAGACAATTTTTCCACGGACCAAGGGTTGGGGGGAGGTGGTGTGAGGTCAGGCAGTGATATGAGGCCCATTTCCTAACAGGCTGTGGACCAGTACTGGGCGCCTCCCCCACCCCCGGGGTTGGGGACCTCAGCAAGAAGAATGATTTTGTTAGCTCCATTAAGATTTTTTGCTATAATCCAAGATGTTAATCTACTAAAATGTTATCTAAAATATGCATCTTAGTATAAAATTTAAACATACTTGTAAAGTGTAAAAATGTAAGAAACTTTATTTTTTAATTAACAAAAGGATTAAATGTTTAAGTTTTTACCTATTTTATATATATTCCCTTCAACTTATGATAAACCTATACACTAGGTTTCAATCAAGACTTTTACGCAGTGAAATAGAAATATTATTAACTGAAATTTAGACCCATTAAAAATATTATCCAAAGTATGCTGTGATTTTTCTCATATAATTTGAAATAGATTATTAGTGCCCACAATTTACAAGGCCATTTACTAAAGTATTAAAATCTTTCTGACCTTACTGCCTTAGAGATTTCATTGCAAGTTAGTGACTGTGTTGTTTAGAGAATTAATCAAAAACCAGAACTTGGAACTTCAGCGGCCTCCTCGATTATGGCTGATGATGACTACTTGGTGCGACCTTGGATAAATCACTTTTTCTTTCCATGACTCACTTCTCTTGTCAGTAACATGGAATAAACAATATTGATATAGCTGAGCATGCTCTCTCGGCTAGGGATTAACTATTTGCAGATTATTGCTTTGCTTTTAATGGTAAAGTATTATGAAAACACTTAAAAGGCCAAAGGAGTTATCTGCTCATCAGTCTTCAAAGTAAAAACAAGAGTGACACAAAGACTAGCTCTCTGATCAGGGAAGCACCCTCAGAATAGTATCTTCTCCTCCTTTCCACTTCGTTGTGAGTCCTCATCTCACCCGTGTCACTGATGGTACCTCTCAGAGTAAGTTTTACTTTCTCTTCACTTTCTTCATCTTTCCCCAGGCTTCCTTGAAAAAAACAAAACAAAACTAACTACTTCTCTGCCTTCCACTTCACTTCTATACCTGTAGTCTCTTCCCAGAACCCTCTTTTTCTGACTTTCCCCTGCAGGAGCAAACAAAACTTTGCATGTGCTGAAACTGAAATTCTCAAGGTTGCTGACTGGATATATGGTAGAAAATTCATGTGTGTTTGAATCTTAATTCTGTACAACAAAATGATAGCTCAGTCATTCAGATATTTATATTTTTTAAACATTAGAAACAGTGCACTGGAGACATGGCAGTAAAGAGGATGCATTTGGCCCCTGTCTTCATGAAGACTACCTTCCAGGAGATAGTAATTATAGTAATTGTTTTATAGAATGATGAAAATATAGACCTTTCCTCTGTTGTTCCTTTCCAAATGTTGTATAACTTGGTTATAGCACTTTTGTGATTATAAAGTAACATTTTAGGAAGCATATAAAATATTTCATTGTATGTATAAGTAGTTGATCAAAACAAATCTGAATTTGGGCATATAATTACTTATTTCTGTATGGATTTTTGTTCTGGTACACTCTGGCGGGGGAGGGGGGGAATAGTGAATCAAGGATTAACCAGAAATAGACATAGGTTTAGAGTGACTAAGATGACTGGACAGGCCCTGATTTCTTGGCCATGGCTAATACAGGCCTCTGCACATACTGCTACTCATAATTCACCTTTAGTTTTAGTTTCTATCTTGAAGGAAGAAGAGTGTTGATTTTTACTAGTATGTTGTCAAAGAGGGAACAGCTTGTACAAAGGCAAGAGCAAATAGCTTTCTCTTAGGGATCTAAAAATAGTTCAGTAAAACTGGGGCTTTGACCAGGATTTGGGGAATGGCAAGATATAAGGCTGGAAAAGTCAGCAGGGGCCTTGTAAGTCATCTTAAGACATCTGAGCTTTATCCAGGGGGCTTTAGGGATCCAGGTAAATGTTTTACACTGGTGAGTAGCACAGTCATATATCTGTGTTATAGAGATCACTATGGCTGCAGTGTAGACAACAGGTCAAAGGGGCCTGTGGAAGGGCAGGGGGACAAGGGGGTAGAGTCAGGAGGGAGAGAGACCAGGCAGAGGGCTATTAAAGTAGTTCAGGAGAAAATTCTGGTTGCCTGAATGGATATGGCAGAAGTGATGGCCAGAAGCAGTGAGCTTCAAAAGACATGTAGCGCGGTAGAACCAACAGCCTCAGAAACGAATTGGATGTACAGGATAACCCATGGGAATGAATCGAAGTTAACTCCTATCCCTGTGATACCAAAATCTAAAATTTCTGAAGACCAAAGTTTTTAAAATAAGTTTGATGGCAAAGCCTAACCTCATCTTACATCAGACCGTGTATCATTTTTATTTAACCCATTTAGTGTGACTATGCACACTGTTGCAGGAATATTAATGTATTAGATTGTGGGTAACTTCCCAGACTCTCTGGAGTATTATATAAAATATGATATGTATTCAGTGTTACTATTATAAATTCCAAAACTTCTGGCAACAGTAGGTTGTTGTTGTTGTTGTTGTTGTTTTGAGACAGTGTCTTGCTGTGTTGCCTAGGCTGGTATCAAACTCCTGGGCTCAAGTGGTCCTCTCACCTCAGCCTCCCAAGTAGCTGGGACCACAAGTGCACCACACCGGAGCCATGTGAGAGTAGCAGGATGGAAGAAAAATAGGTGAATAGAATGGCCTCTATTTTGGTGGGCATGGGTGTTACAAATAATTTTCTGGTCACTAGTGATAGAGATCTTTAAAATTATGTCTTTAAAAATGAGAACTTTTTTCCTGCCCCATAAATTGAGGTCTGAAAGTAGGCAGTAGGCATGTGAGGCTGGTATTGCAGCTCCATAAATACCATCAAGAACCCAAGCTCCTCTTCCTTTTCCCTCTCATCCATCCTTAGCTTGTGCCTTTTGTCTTGTTGTCACAGAATGGTTACCAGAACTCCTGTTATCACTTCTATGTTCCAGGCAGAAAGAAAGGGAAGAGTGAGGGTAAAAGGTGAGAAATGCCAGCTTAGTCAACCTACTCCCACCACCACCACCCACCACCACCTTTAAGCCTTTCCAGAAGCCAGAAACCCCACCCAATAGCTTCTTGTTATGATTTTTTTTATTTTTTTGTTTCTTTTGCTGGGATTTAGTCCCAGGGCCACCCCTTTTTAGGAGGAAAGAGGGTAAATGTAGTTAGGTTAGTTGGGAACATTGCTCCCTCTGGAAAAAAAAAAAAATCAAGATTCTGTTAGAAGGAAGAGAGAGAGAATGAATTGTGGTAGGTAAAAAGCAGTATCTTCCACAGGTGGTCAACAAGTGGAATTTAGCTAGTAAACGGGTTTCCAATAGAATTGGCCCCAGCTGATCCCTAGTGTGGTGGTTCTCAAGTGTCGTCCCCTTCTTAGGAGCATCTACATCACCTAAGAACTTGGGGAAATGAAACTTTCAGGTCCTACTCTAGGCCAGCCGACTCAGAAACTCTGGGATTTGATTCCAGGAATCTGTTCTTTAAC